CATTTAGGAACAAAGAATGTAGACCATACTTACTGGATGGGGACTCTATCCTGGGGAGCAGTGACTTTCTGAAAAAGATTTGGGAGTCATGGTGAATAATCAGCTGAACACGAGCTCCCAGTGTGATACTGTGGTCAGAAGTTTATGCAATCCTGGGATGCATAAACAGGGCACAGATTTACCTCATCTCACTTGTCAAAGGATCCACAAAAGAGACTAAATGTGAAGACAGCCATCCTTCATTTTCCATGAATGGGAGTAACTGAACCTGTCCCTTTTTCCAGAAAAGAGTTGAGGCCTTTACTACATCTTGTTGTTAGTCAAAGCAGGCTATAAGTCAGTTCTTTATTTGTAATAACTCAACAGATTAATGAAGAAATTAAAACTGAAGGTGGAGACTTTTAATATTCACATTAGCTTCCATGAGCATGGCGCACCTGATGACATCAGTAGAGCTGAAGGATGCCCAGCTCCCTATCCCAATTCAGCAGTGTATCAGATGCTTTGCTCTAGGAGCACAACACTACTAGCACAGGTCCTTGCCTTTTTTGGTTTACCAACAGCCCTGGAAGTGTTTATGAAAATGTTGATAGTGTTAATAGCAGCTCTCAGACAGGAGAGTTTCTATGTCTGTCCCTTCCTTGATGACCACCTTATTCAAGCCCCATCCAGAGGCAGGGCCATAGATGAATGATGCTGGAGAGCCACAGCTTTGATAAATTGTGTGTAGTTAGTTAGTATCTCAGCAGTTTCCACACCTCAGAATAGAGATAAATACGGCTCTCTAAAAAGTTTTCATTTAGTAGGAAAGATGGAAGAAGCTGAGGAATCTTATCAAAATGGTCAACCCATGTTCACATGCTTCTGTGATCAATACATTCCTGTATGGATATTCCATAGACTCCTGTATAGATGCTCCTCAGTGGGCTTGTGCTCTTATGAAGTCACTACAGACTTTATTCCTATTCCTCCCTCAGTCTCTTAATTCAGTGCTCCTGAGGGAGTTCTGCACCATTGTGTGCATGCAGAATTCATGTCCCCACAGATTTCTTTGCTTCCCCTCACAAAAATTACTTTCTGAAGGAGAAGCAAAGGAAAGCCGCAAGAGCAGTCATGTGCCCCTCCTCAGCAATGTGGGCACATCGTTTTGGACACCTGGAGCAGCTGGCATAGAGGGAAATCATTGGAGGGAATGCAGGGCTGAGGATGCCTCAGTCAGTGGCTCCTACTCTGTGCTGGGCTCAGCTGCTAGTTCCAGCTAGGCTGGGGAGGACAGGACTTGCTCTTCCCCTGAAAGGAGTGGCCTGAGCCAGGTCAGACCCACCTCAGAAACCTCCCCTGGCTGCAGGAAGCTTCCACTCCCATCGCTCCTCAGCCATAGCGAGAGGGGTCACTGTATGGGGAGCTGCTCAGATGTCTGCCCAATCCCTGTGCATCCAGACCCCCGTATACCCATACCTCCTCAGTACCCAGAACCCCCCACTGAGCCCCCCAAACTGCCACCCCACTGAGCCTCACTTCCACCAATCGGACCCCCCCACTGAACCCCACCCCCCTTCGCCCAGACCCCCCCCCCGATGAGCCTGTCACACTCCAGCCCCCACCCTGATGAGCCCCTTGCACCCAGACCCCAACCAGTTGCACCTAAACCCCCACACCCAGACCCCCCTACTGAGTCCCATCCCCCCTCACTCAGATTCCCTTCCTGAGCCCAACCACCTTCACCTGGACCACCCTGCAAAGTCCCATTGCCCTTGCACCTGGAACCTCACAAAATGAGCCGCTGCGCATCCAGATCTCTCCCAGACCCCCCACTGAGCCACCCATACCCAGATTGTCTCACACAGAACCCTCTTACCCTACACTTGGATCCTGTTGGGTTGAGCCTGCCTTCCCACACCTGGTGGACCTAGCATGGAGGGGCAGGGCCCCATGGCATTTCTGGGGCAGGCCCAGCCTTGCGCTGTGTCAGGGTTGGGTGCAGCCTCACCACCAAGTCGATGTCCTGGGAGGAGGGAGGGCTGCAGGGTGATCTCCCTCTTCCGTGCAGCCAGTGGCCTGTGCTCCCCACTGCCATGCTGGAGCCTCCACATTTATTTATTGACAAATAAAACTTGCAGAATTTTTTGCAGAATTTTATAATGTGTGCAGAATTTTTAAATTTTGGCACAGAATTCCCTCAGGAGTAATTCACCAGTGAAGGTATCTCTATCGAGGAGACTATTGTATTCTCCAGATACTGGTTTAAGCCAAGCAAATTAGTTGAGCTTTGCCATAGATGAACCAGTCAGGGAAGTTATTGCCACAGATGCCAGCCTGGAGGGATGGGGTGTGTAGACACAGTCAAGGATTGTCTGGAGACTATGGTCCAAACAACAGCAAAGACAGTAAAAACTGGTTACAAGTCAGGACAATTCAATATGGTATCAAGGCTCAGCTCCCATATCTAGACTCCCCTTATGTGCTGGTCATGACAGGCAACACCTCAGCCATGTCATACATCAACAGACAAGATGGAATAAGATGCACAGCACAGTTCAATAAAGAGAAACTCACTTTCTGATGCCTTGGGTGGAGGAGAATTCACTGTCAGCCTGCTTCCTTCACATATAAAGGAAAATATTACAGGCGACTGGCTCAGCAGCCAAAAGATAGATTATTCAGAATGGAAACTACTTGTAGATTTATTCATTTTTCCTGTTGATCTGTGTTTTCTCCACTTGAATCACAATGTTCACATGTTCTTCTCTCATTGGCAGGATCACAAAACCAAGGCAACAAGATGTCTTATCACAAAATCGGTCAAGAGGACTCTTAAACCCCTTCTCTCCTTTTCATCTTCCCACTAGAACACTATAAAAGATCAGACAAGAACCGGCATTGGTGATTTTGGTGGTCCCATTTTGGAGAACTAAATCTCTGCACAGTGCTCCTCCATGGGATCTTATCCTGGTTCTTCATGACCTTAATGGCCCTCTGTTTGAATCATTTGTGAAGTTATCTCAGTACTTCTTAACAACTGAAATGGCTTTTTTGATAGTAGTCACTTCTGCTCACAGGGGATCTTTCTCCTGGGAACCTTAGTGCTACACTTTCTGTAAAGATAAAGTGGTACTCCGAACTAACATTGGCTTCATACCAAAGATTAACTCATAGTTGCATAGAGCACAGGAAATTGTCATTCCATCCGTCTGTCCAGCTCCCTCTCACCCCAAAAAGATATTCTGGCATATTTTGGATGTCTGCACAACTCTCAAAATAAATAATAATTTTACAGTCCAGAAATACGCTGTTTTTGCTCTGTGATTCAGTAGCAAAGGGAAAAGAAGATCTTAATCTTCCAATTCCAGCTGGCTAAGGTATTGTATCTTGGAGGCCTGCAAGTCAAAGTATAACTTCCTCTTCCAAAATCAAAGTGTGTGTGTATGCTTGCGCACATGCTTGTTCTTTTGCAGGTCTGTGGTAACTCAGTGGACAGAAAGATTCATGTTATATGAGAGAATCCGTAAAGCTAGCCATCTGTGCATACCTTCTCCAAGTTCTCCAAGCTGGGCATTTAATCATCAGTCGATACCACCTTTAGTAAATGGGTACTCCATGCTGTAGTGTCCCAATAAGAGTTAAGAAGGGGTTATCCTATTTTGCATATATATTTTTCCCACTCTGAGTAGATGCTGTTATGAAAATCCCAGTGTCATGGATCTATGGCCCTCATTACAAACAAGAATAGGAAAATGCAAATAAATATGTTTTACTTTTGTAATAATGAGGTTCATAGTTCTAGCCCACCTTGAACGGGCTGTTTCTTTGTGAAAGATATGTTATTATTAGTTGTTACTTAAAATCTATTTTTTCATTGCAATCTGCTTAGTATGGGGACTGGTAGTATTGATATATAGCAATATATAGTGGTTAGAGATTTTCTTGGCTGAGGAAGTGTCGAGCTGGCATGCTTCTGGGAGGTGAAGCCACTGATTGACTAGTCTAGTTTGCCTCTAAGGCTGCACAGAGCAGAAACCTAGTGTCAGGGATATATGGACCTCATTACTCTTAGAAATGAAATTTTCAGTAAGGTATGGATACATTTTCCTATTTTCTTACGTGAAAAGAAAGCCTACCTAATTATAGTGTAAGTATTAAGAGTTTAGTATAAATCAACTACAACAAGGACACTTGTATGTGTAAATGCTGCTCTCCACTGAGCTCTCAGATTGCAGATGGTATATTATGCAAAACCTACTGTTTTAAGGCTGCCACAGTATATATGTAAAATCAGAGAATAATGATTAAAAGAGCAGACATTTGGATTTTCTTGATTTTTATTTTTATGCCACAGGAATAGACCATTAAAGCTCTAGTTGACATTTCTACTACTCATATCAGATACTGAAATGTCCAAAAGGGAACAAATATATGGAAGGAAAATATATGGAAGTTACATAGGATATCATGGTGCTTTTTGTAATTTTGGGGCAATGTGATGCTAATGCTACCTACAAAAAACATAGATTTTCTGCAAAGTCTCGTCTATTTTTAATACCTGTTCCTTTATTCAACATATCTTTTTATTAAACAACTTCCAGCTTTCCTTTTTTGTGTGCAGTGTAAGCAGGTTTTTGCTCTGTGAAGACAGTGGAACAGCTGAGGTCACATGTATTCATTGGTTTAAAACACAGCGGATGGATGTGTTATGGATGTCCACCTCTTTTTCTTGAAAGGGACTTTGGGCGTGGTTTTGTGTAAGAATATAGAGCAACTCATTAAGTTTGCTAGAAATCTGTGATGCATGCATACTGTAGTCCATCTAGAGGTTCTGTAATTTCCACAAGATCAGATCATGAAGTATAGTGACATAAAATTGTTTATAGATGGCTAGCCATCTGTTACTTCATGTTTAATTTTGTTCATCTGTACTTATTTTTGAGATACAGACTTGCTTCTGATTATGATAATATCCCTAAGAAAATGATTTTTTTATTTAATTATTTTCTTATTTTTAGTCAGAGGCCAACAAAGTTTATGGAACGTCCTCGCCCTGGAGTTCAAATGATCTGTTCTTCTTTTAGTGCTGGTAAAGATTTTCTTTTCTACCTCTTTAATATAAGGATTTGTAATAAGGCATTTAAAGAGCTTAGTAAAATATAGTACTATTACTACAGTGTGTGTACTTAGTTGGATGGGATCTACTGAAGAAACATGCTATATAAGAGCTTAGAATTATTAATAATAATGGATTTTCATATTGTGTGCATAGACAATTCATGTTTGCTATATAGGACTCCTTGGGTATCATTAGGTATAAAATCTAGTTAATGTGTTTTTGAGATTTAGTTTTCTCCAAGAGGAATGTGTACGGTGCATAAGGGAGAGCATCAAAGGGTTTGTTAACACATCATGTACAGAAGTTTTTATAAGGGACTTGAACAAGTAGAGTTAAAAACTGGACCTAAGCTTCTAAGTAAGTTAAGCATTTTTGAAAATTCTGCTTCCAATGACCAGAGAGAATTCAAATCTTCTGTTGAGTTTGGAAACCAACTCCCTTTGTCCATGTCCTCTTAAAATAAATACAGAAATAAAAAAATCCTACATTTGTTTTGCTTATGAAAAGTTACTTTAAAAAAATATAATTGCTTAATATTGTTTTAAGAAAAATTAGGAATCATTTGTGTACATGTAAAATTTTGTAACATGCTTGGTGTCTCAGATTTTTCATGTAATTTTGAATATTAAATAAACAGACAATGAAAAATGAGTCAACATAGCTATAAACTTTTTATGTTAATAAAAATAAACTTTAATACCTGTAAGGTCATTGACAGCTTTCAAATAATATTACATTACCTTTTTCCTCATGACTATTGGTTATTTGTGCTTATCTTTCCTAGGTGGAATGTTTCTAGCCACTGGAAGTACAGATCACATCATTAGGGTGTATTTCTTTGGATCAGGTCAGCCAGAGAAGATATCAGAGTTGGAGTTTCATACTGTAAATACTATTTTAAAATTACATATGTATTTGATTAAAATGTGTCAATAGATTGAATTCATTGGTAATTTCTGTATTCTTTATGTAGGACAAAGTTGACAGCATTCAGTTTTCTAACACTAGTAACAGGTAAGCAAGCGAATATTTGTATGTTTTTATTTCAGGACAATTTTTGCAGCCTCACGAAAATAATTTCCAAATGTCAGTTGTTTTCTCGAGCTTGTTAGAGAATTCTCTGTCAACTTATATTTAAAGGTAATCTGCAATATTTAGTAATTTTTATGGGTCATCATTAGATTTATTTAAAATAATTATATGGCTTCCTCTTTATCATCACTTTTGTTACAAGTGCCTAATGCTTAGTTACTTAATGACCAAATTTTTTGTGGGTTATGAAGAGATGAAAGGTGCGTTGGTACACTTTGGAAATATTTGTAGTATACTTTATCAATTGTCCTAAAAGGCTAATTAAATAGCACTTTTAGTAAGTGGCAACTTGATTCACAGCAAAAATAATCAGGTAGGGTAAGGAAGAGCGTTCTGGCCAGTGTTTGTCTGATTAGCCTGAAATTCATGAGGAGTAGATATTTATTTATTTATAAATATCACAATAATTTGTAAAGCTCTTCTGGATGGTTGACATGAAAGATGATCAGGAAAGAAATTTAAATTCATTAGGAAGGCAACCATTTCCCCCACTGACATTTAGTGTTCTAATATGCAATTTTATCATGATATAAACTGCTCTGAACTGAGCTTGGGAGAGTACCTCCAGTTTTTTCCAACTTAAGCCATAAGGGAGAAAAAAGTTCAGTTTAGATATCATAGCAACTATGACAAAATACACAGTTCCAAATTACTTCAGGGATAGGTTTTGCTTATTTAAATAGGTTGTGTCTTTACCTTTAATTTCTGCTTTCCTGGCATCTTGGCCTTTTGCACCACTTAGCTTTTGCACTGGAACTGTATGAAGAGAAGGGGCTTTGGCTTAGCATCTGTATAAAGTTACCCTGATGTCTCCACTGTGGTCGCACATTCAACAGAGCAAAGAGTGGTAACTGGGCAGAACATGGGAGGGGGCCACGTGATCCACATACGACTATGTGTGTGGGGAGTTATTCCAGCCCAGAGCCTGTAGTGCTGGGGCTGGAAAGTGAATTTCACCATGTTTCTCTCTGTGTATTTGAAGTACATTTCACCCAAAATTAGTAGTGCAGAGTTTTTGAAATAACCGGTATATTGGTGCACTTGTGTAGTACATTAAAGAATAAAAACCTAACGATTAATAGCATTTTCTCTCCATAATCAATTTTCATATAAACTGTCTTACCTCTAATTGATATTGAATGTTAATTTTTCTTTTGTAGGTTTGTGAGTGGAAGCCGGGATGGGACAGCACGCATATGGCAATTTAAGCGAAGGGAGTGGAAGAGTATTTTGTTAGATATGGCTACTCGTCCAACAGGGTAAGCAACATCAAATGGTCTGCTTTCAAATGGTCTACATCAAATGGTGCAAATTTGAAGTTTGTTCAACCCTAATGCTAGTTATTGACATAGCACCTAATCACTTAAGAGGAGTTAAATATAAAGCATATTGTTCTGAAGCATAAGAACATAAGAATGGCCATACTGGGTCAGACCCCAAGGGTCCATCTAGCCCAGCATCCTGTCTTCTGACAGTGGCCAATGCCGGGTGCCCCAGAGTGAACATAACAGGCAGTGATCAAGTGATCTCTTTCCTGCCATCCATCTCCACCCTCTGACAAACGGAGGCTAGGGACACCATTCCTTACCCATCATGGCTAATAGCCATTAATGGACTTAACCTCCATGAACTTATCTAGTTCTCTTTTAAACCCTGTTATAGTCCTAGCCTTCACAACCTCCCCAGGCAAGGAGTTCCACAGGTTGACTGTGCACTGTGTGAAGAAAAACTTGCTTTTATTTGTTTTAAACCTGCTGCCCATTAATTTAATTTGGTGGCCCCTAGTTCTTGTATTCCTTATTCACTTTCTCCACACCACTCATGATTTTATATACCTCTATTATATCGCCGCTTAGTTTCCTTGTTTCCAAGCTGAAAAGTCCTAGCCTCTTTAATCTCTCCTCATATGATAGAGGTTCCAAACCTCCAATCATTTTAGTTGCCCTTTTCTGAACCTTTTCTAATGCTAGTATATTTTTATGAGAACCACATCTGTACGCAGTATTCAAGATGTGGGCGTAACCATGGATTTATATAAGGGCAATAAGATATTCTCCGTCTTACTCTCTATCCCTTTTTTAATGATTCCTATCATCCTGTTTGCTTTTTTGACTGCCGCTGCACACTGCGTGACGTCTTCAGAGAACTATCCACGATGACTCCAAGATCTCTTTCCTGATTAGTTTTAGCTAAATTAGCCCCCATCATATTGTATGTATAGTTGGGATTATTTTTTCCAATGTGCATTACTTTACATTTATCAACATTAAATTTCATTTGCCATTTTGTTGCCCAATCACTCAGTTTTGTGAGGTCTTTTTGAAGTTCTTCACAGTCTGCTTTGGTCTTAACTATCTTGAGCAGTTTAGGATTTCAACTTTATTTTTTAAATATATTTGACTACCTATTCAGCTGCTCAAGCTAGTTCCTGTCAGATGCACCTTAACTCCTGTTTGCACTATTGTTTCATTAAGAGGTCAAAGGAAAACTGCTGCTAAAATTTTCCAGCCACAGAGCTAGCAAAGCATATAGGTGATTTTCTAGGGCATGGCTACACTTGGAGATGTAGAGTGCTTTGAGTTAAACCAGCCTTCGGAGAGTGCAGTAGGGAAAGCACTGCAGTGTGTCCACACTGACAGCTGCAAGCACACTGGCGTACCCACATTTGTGGCACTTTCAGCGGCATTGGGAGCTGTGCATTATGGGTAGCTATCCCACAGAGCACCTCTTCCCATTCTGGCACTATGGATTGTGGGAAGGGGCCGGGGTGTGCGGGGCATTTTGGGTCCTGTCCCAGCGCCCCGTGATGCATCGGTTCGCATCCCAGCAATCCCTGTGCTTCCTTCCACTTTGGCGCCATCTTTCAACATTTTTTGTACTGCGTGCTCTGTCTTCCCTTTCGGTGTGCGGGAATGGAGCCCGAACTGCTGAGAAATATGCTGACGAGTCTTGCCAGTACGTCACGTTTGGCAGTCGAGTTACTCCTTAAGATCCAAACTGACTGTGATGATATCGAATCGAGTAACGCATATGACGTGAGATTGCTCGTGGCATTCACGGACATGCTCACCACCGTGGAATGCCGCTTTTGGGCTCAGGAAACAAGCACTGAGTGGTGGGATCACGTCATCCTGCAAGTCTGGGATGACGAGCAGTGGCAGCAGAACTTTCAGATGAGAAAAGCCACTTTCATGGGACTGTGTGAGGAGCTTTCTCCCATCCTGCGGCGCAAGGACACAAGATTGAGAGCTTCCCTGACGGTGGAGAAGCGGGTGGCTATTGCAATCTGGAAGCTGGCAACTCCAGACAGCTACCGATCGGTCGCTAACCAGTTTGGAGTGGGAAAGTTGACTGTTGGAATCGTGTTGATGCAAGTTTGCAGGGCCATTAAACGCATCCTGCTCAGAAGAACCGTGACTTTGGGTAACATGCATGACATTGTTGCTGGCTTTGCACAAATGGGCTTCCCCAACTTCAGAGGGGCAATAAATGGGATGCATATTCCAATTCTGGCACCAGCCCACCTAGCCTCCGAGTACGTTAATCAGAAGGGGTATGTCTCTATGGTTCTCCAGGCGCTTGTGGATCACCATGGGTGTTTCATTGACATTAATGCAGGCTGGCCTGGAAAGGTGCATGACGCATGCATCTTTCAGACCACTGGCCTGTTCAGGAAGCTGCAAGCTGGGACTTTTTTCCCCAGACCAGAAGATCACCGTAGGGGAAATCGAAATGCCCATTGTGATCCTTGGAGACCCCGCTTATCGTTTAATGCTTAGGCTCATGAAACCCTACACAGGGAGCCTTGACAGCAGCAAGGAGCAGTTCAACAACAGGCTGAGCTGGTTCAGAATGACTGTGGAGTGTGCTTTTGGCCGTTTAAAGGGCCGCTGGTGCTCTCTGTATGGGAAGCTGGACCTGGCCAATGACAGCATCCCCGCAGTTATATCAGCGTGCTGTACCCTCCATAACATTTGTGAAGGGAAAGGTGAAAGATTCACTCAGGCATGGAACTCGGAGGTTCAGCACCTGGAGGCTGAATTTCAACAGCCAGAGAGCAGGGCTATTAGAGGGGCCCAGCGCAGGGCTGCAAGGATTAGGGATGCCTTGAGGGAGCAATTTGAGGCTGAAAGCCACCAGTAATGTTTGGTGCCGTGCACGGGGGTGAAATGCAGTGGTTCCAATGTTAAGGAATCTGTGTTTGCTATGCTGACTTGCAGTACCTGTTGCTTTCCTGGGCTAAGCTATCTTTTACTCAATGCAATAATAAAGAATGTTTTCAAAGCCAAAAAATCCATTTATTGGAAAGAAAATTCATTTATTGAAAAGAAACACAATTGCTTGGGCGACCGAAAGGGCAAGGGGGTGGGGTGGGGAATGGTACAATCACAGATTTGCGTTTGTCCTATCATCATACTCAGTCTTCCTGTCTAGAGTGCTGTGCAATGAGTGCTGCACTTCAGGATGGCTATAATGCGTGGTGATGGGGGTTGAGTGCAGTGGGTAAGGGTTGTAGTTTTCAGGACTGGGTGGTGAAACTACAGGTGTTGGAGGCAGCTGCTGGCGATAAGAACCCGGATGTTGGGGAAAGTGGGTTGGAGGTGACATGGGGGCACAAGGGAAAGAGTTATGGGACAAGGGCTGCAGACGGGGGAAAGGGAGCGGGCGCCTGGATCGAGTCCGCGTGGTGCTTCATGATGTTTATCAGCTGATCCGTGCTTTGCTGCCGAAGCTCCGTGCTTTTGTGCCGGCGCTCCTCATTCTGCTGGCGGATCCTCCTTTCACTCTCCCTCTACTCCTGCGCTTTTAGATTCTCATTAAAGAACTGCTGCATTACTTCATGCAGCATGTCTTCTTTGCTTCTACGTGGCCTCTTCCTAATTCTTTGGAGTCTTTTGGCCGGTGATAACATAGACGGCTGAGATCTCAAGGTTGCATCTGTAAAGGCAAAATGCAACACTTAACAGAGGCAGCATTGTTCACACCAGACAGAGCAATGATTCCTCCGTACTTAAGGGCAAGCACAGTCTACACAATAGCATAATTTGCCCGTCCCAAAGCGAGCGCACATAACCCAGTGAAGCCCCAAAATGGTGAGTAAGCACAGGGTCAAGGGGGACTGATTGTTTCACGGCCGTACTGTCCTCTGGATTTCTGTGCCTTGGGGAGAGCCAGCAGCTGCAGGGGGCCCCTATACTGAACACTGTCTCCACATTTTCCACAGGAGTTCATCCTGGAAGATACCTCGCTGCTGAGGGTGACCTGGGAAGCAAGGGAGGGTCTTCTACTACAATGCAGCTTCCGCCCTGGCCCATATGCAGCTTGCCTGTGTACAGCAATGGTCCCCCCCACCCCTCATGGCACAGTGGTGCAGACAAGTTAGCCTGACTGGGACAAGGACCACAGTGGCTCTCCCAAGAAACATGCGCAAGCGCATTGCCCAAGTTCTGGATGAGACCTTTGAAGAGATCACTGAGGCTGATTACTGCGATGTGAGAGAGCACGTCAACGCCCTGTTCCGCATCTAGGCATGCATACAGCCCTAACCCTTCTCGCCCCAAGAGCCCGCACCGAATAACTTCCTTCTCAAAATAAAAGCCGCTTACTGGGCACCTCCTCTGGTATTTGTCCTTCCCCAACCACCGGCCGCCGCGACTGGCTACCTTCCTCCTGGCTTGAGAACAGCTCCTGCATGCATCTAGGGATGCCGGCGTGTCTTCCTCCTCCTCAGCACCCTCGCTCCCACTTTTCTCCTCCTCCTCCTCCTGCCTTGTTGAACTGGGCTCTGAAGTGTCCATGGTGGTACTCGGAGTGGAGGTGGGGTCGCGTCCAGCTCTTTGTAGAAATGGCAGGTCGTGGGGGCAGCACCGGAGTGGCAGCTTGCCTCGTGGGCTTTATGGTAGGCATTCTGCAGTTCCTTCACTTTACCCCTGCACTGCAGTGCATCCCGGTCATGGCCCCTTTCCATCATGTCCCTTGATATCTGCCCAAAGGTATTGTAATTCTTACGGCTGGAGCGCAGCTGGGACTGGACAGCTTCTTCCCCCCAAACACTGATGAGGTCCAGCACTTCTCCATTGCTTCATACCAGGGATCGCCTGGACGTGGAGGCATGGTCACCTGGAAAGATTCACTGAGAGCACTCCACGCCTGGCTGAGCAAACAGGAAGGGGATTTTCAAAATTTCCAGAGAATTTAAAGGACGTGTCTGACAATTGGTCACCTGAGGGCCGGGCAGTAGAATTCAAACTGTTGACCA